CCCCCCCCCCCAATTCCCCCCCCCCTTTCATTGCATGTAAAAATCGAGCCCCTCTTTTGTTAACGGCGTGAGGATGACCCCAATGTCCAAACCTTTGCCTGGGTGGCTTCCTCCACCATCTGCACCAGCATCTCGTTCTGCTCGTTCAGGTCTTTGACATACGCCTCGAGCAGCTGAATGCGCATCTGAAAAGAAGCAAACAGTTTTTTTTTGTTTTTTTTTAAAAGTTATGTAAACCAATCAAAGCAAGAAACAAACAACGTATGTTTGTTTTTCTTGGTGTTTGAGATTACTGAGTCAAGCCTGAGAAATACTAGGTCACGTGACTGCATCTAATTGAATAGTCATTAGATTAAAAAAAATAATAATTTAAAAAATCGACCTGCTGATAACGCAACTTAAATCTAAAAGTCCGCACCCCCACTTCTCAAAATATGGGCTACACCCCCCCCCCCCCCTCCAACACACACTTGTCTAGTAAAGCAATAATAAAAAAATATTAAAAAATAACAATCTTGTGAACTTAATTAAAATGGTAAATATGAGAGCTTAGACTGAACAGCATGTATGTCAACTGACACTATAACATAATAATACTAGCTACAAGGGCAATAACTTGCACCCAAACGTTTAATTTATCGTTGCAAGGGCTGTAGCTCTCACCCCAACCATGACATTATTATTAGCTACACGGGCATTAACTCTCACCCACCATAAGCTTACTATACCACAAGACCAGTAACTCACACCCCAACATGACGCTTACCTATCTCAAGGGCCAGTAACTCTCTAATAGGTGGTGTGCTTGCTTACCCGAGTGGTGTCCTTCCCGGCACAGTCTGCGGCATCGAGTTTCATGAATTGTTTTTTGTACAATGAGGTTAGCTCCCCTCTCAAGCTCTCCATTTTGTGTGCAGCTTGTAGACAAACTTGTACATTAGTTTTTGATCCCGAGCGACTCAATTAATGTACAACACTCAACGTGATAAAAATTCATTTAAACAAAAACAAAATCCCTTAAGAATAAATATAGTTTACAGCGAAAAATAGTTTTTTGAGTGAGGAATTGTTTTTTTTATAAGTTTGATACCTTACACTCAGTTGTGATTACACTCAGTTGTGATTACACTGAGTTGTGATTACACTCAGTTGTGATATTCGATAAACAACTTTCTTAAAATTCAAATCGGTGTGTCACTCACTTTCGAATTATATTTTTAGCCCTTTGTTAAAAAACAACCCAATTTTTTTCCTATTACTATTAGCGTGTTAATGTTTCAATAAGCGTTAATCAGGCTCAGACAGTTCAAAGCTAGTTCTAACACAGGTTGTATTCTTCTGAGAATCATTTCTGACACCAATTACGAGCTTGAGTTTATTCTAGCAGAGCGGAGAGGTGTGACATACTGAGCCACGATCCTAAGGGGCGGGTGACCATTTGGAACCATTTGGGTGTTAAGGTGGACTCGCGGTGTGAAAAGTTACAGTGTGAGGTCTGCTAGTTCTGCGGCCAATAAACGTCCTCTATCTGCTAGGAGCAGACACAACGTCTGTTGTTCCGAACTGAAGGCCAGACAGTCTTGTGAACGCCGGGATCATGTCTGATAACCTACAGTGTGTTGTTGTTTTTTTGAATGGGAAGTGAGCCGCGCTAGAAACGCGTGGTGCTCTATCGTGCTCTTTGCGGGAATACAAAAGTGCACGTCATGGAAAGTTGTCCAATCAATTGATCCGATGATTGCGTCACGAATTAAGTCTTTTCTTCAAACTTTTTCTTTGAATTAATTCTTGAAGTTCGAATCAATCGATTTTCTAAATTATTTGCAAACAGGCTCGGAGCAGGTGTACCTGCCCCCCCCCCCTTTTTTTTTTTTTTTTTTTTTTTTTTTTCACCAAAAAAAAATACATTTTAAAAAACAAAACAATAAATAAATTTCATTTTACAAATTTCAGTTTTTCTTTTC